GCCAAGGCTATCGCCTCACCAACGACTACGTCGACGATGAAGAATCTCCGTCCGACTTCTGAATGTGTGTAAGTGATAGAGCGGGTTCTCCACATCGGGGAACATTGGTCACTCGGTCCCGATGTGCGTCCTGTCACGTGATTTCCATCTTATGTACCATTTCGACCATTATTACCCAACCATAATAAACATGGCTGCTGCTGTGTTCAACTATACTACCTCTGACTTTTGACCTCCATCTCTTGTCCATCATCCCGAACTACCATCCGAGAGTAGCCACAACGAACGCTCTTGGACAGTAACATATTGATATTAGGCATTGAGAAAATACTTACCTTCATGTCTACTTCGACATTGGGATGACTATGGACGCATTTCACCTTCGTCACTATGTCATTGACGGTTGACGCAGTGGAGTTACAGTTCTTTCTGTGCACTTCCAAGATATCCAATCTCTTCCTCCTCTTATTCACACGGTACATAAAGCCACCAACACACAGGTATCTGCCACCACGAAATGTAGGAAGAAATCCCTGATTCAACTGTGCATTTGCCATTTCGAAACTGAATGTAAACTACCTCAAGTTCGTTCCTTATATATCCATCATTGTAAAATCACTCTTATATGATAACATTGATGACATTGGTGACATTTTGTGTGAACTACGTGGGTGAACTATGTGCATACCTTTGTGCAACACCCACTGGCGGATTAGCGTGACTCTAACAACACCTTCGACATCAAAGTTTAGCCGCAGGTCGACTTCGTGTCCATAGCAAAATTTCAAAAGGTCGACTTCGTGTCCATAAGCCCGCCAATACTCTTGGGGAATTCAAAACAAACTAAAGAACACTACACCAGTGAAATCTACTTTAATCTTTCCCATGGTTCAAGGTCTGGCCAGATAAGCCACTCCCGACTTCGGCTTTGGTGTAGCGATCTAAATGGAGATAAGTTTTCCAGATATATATCTGATAGTCCTGAATGTAACTGCGGGCATCACACCGAAGATGCGCTTCATTTCTTCCTCTCATCTGTCCCATATTTAACGACATAAGATCAAATGCATACTTCTTTAGTAGAGGATTTAATTTGTCATCAATCTTATTTGGTCATTCGGGGCATATCAGAACAGGTAAACCTGGAACTACTAAAATCGGTACATAAGTACATCATATCTGCCCAGAGATTCTCGCAAATTACCTAACTTAGTTGTATTGTACATGCCGTGCCTTGCTGTTATACTGAGATCACAACAGCTTCTAGTTTATTTGCCTTCAACGTATGTTTGCAAACTGTAACACATTATATCGTCAATATTGTTCCTTGTAGATTCACATTATGTTTTGCACCCAGCTCATGTGTACGTCACTATCATTATTGTTAATACTATTGTATCATTGTTAGGGGCGGCATTGATCTAAGCATGTTTTATTTCTTGTTTGCCAATCCATCATGAGTAAATGAATAAATATGTTTAAACCATAAGTACGAAGCATTTGTGCAGCACAGTCACATACCCACATGGATAACCATAGTTCACGAATTCAATACCCAAACAATTACATGGACAGGTAATTCAAACATGTCAGCTCAAATAAATAGCACGAAACATAAATCCTGGAAGGATACAACTTTGGTTTCAAAGTCTGATTGCTGTGAAGGCGCAGTTGAGTCTACGTAGGAAGGTCGTCGTGGTAGATCAGGTCTCTGTGATTTCTTCAGGTACTGTTGATAATGGCAGTGGAGCTGCTACACGTGATGAACAACACATACTACAATTTACATCAACATGCATAACAAACGTCAGAAAAACGTCAATGTCCGTCTGGCATGTCATGCCCTCGCGTCTACCCATCAATTGGGTGCCTCACATACATAGCTGTAGACACTACGGCAATAGACCTCTCCTTTCCATATGCCACACCTTAAGGAATTGCAAGATTTGACACGGCAAAACATGCACAGTTACCGCCAAGTCGCCTCTGAGCCATTGCCAAGACTCGAGCTGGTTTGGTTTCGTCAGCTACCGTTTTCGCCACCATGGCCTCTCCTCTAGGGGTCGCCCCTTCACTCCTATGCAACACCAGCATTTCGTCCTGCTTCCAGCAGAAAATCACCACCGTTTGCACTTGCTTACTGCCAAATCGCCTCTGAGCCACTGCCGAGACTCGAACTGGTTTGCCTGCGCCAGCCATCGTTTCACCACCATCGCCTCTCCTCTAAGGGTCGCCCTTTCAGCCCCTATGCAACACCAACATTTGAGCTTGCCTCCAGCAAAGTCGCCCTTGAGCCAGCTGTCAAGACTCAATATGTTTCAGTTCTGCTACACCATGGCCGTCTGTACATCGAGAATCTGCGGGAGAACGAATGTTGAATAGCATGAGCAACGTCGCGTGCCGTTACACAAGCTAAACACAAAGTCAACCAAATGCTTGATCATGGTGGAGGTTGGAATTATCTCTATGCACTACCATCTTTCCGACCTCCGTGGGCAGACGTGGAGGGTAGCGTCGCAATTTTGAAATCGCCGTGCCCTACGCATCGTCGTGCCCCAGGAACAAAGGCAAATTTCAGAAACCAAGTGTTATATAGGATTTTCGGCAGAAGTATAGCAAAAATGACGATTTTTTTCTAACAAATTGTGCAATATATATTTTAATGTTCAGGATAGATCAAATCTGCGTTCACCACCGTCACCGACGTCAAAAGAACTTTCTAATGATACCAATACAGATATGTTGCAGAAAGGTATAACGGAGTTAGAAGCAAACAAAGACGTGATAAGGCAAAGCCTGAACAAAGGCCCGTTTGAAAGGCCGCCGACACAAAAAGCGGCGGTATAAACCGACGTGTAACGTCTCAGCAGAACGTCGCACATGTCCGTACGTCGTTAGGAGCGTACTTTCGAGGGCTTTCGACTGCATTAGACATTTTGAAAATCGGACCATGGACATAGAAGATATAGTCGAAGTGAACATCCGCTGATGGTAGAAGTGACGCGGACACCAGAAGCGGCGGCAGCTTCAGATGTGTGTAGCACCTTTCAAACTGTCGGACATGTACACTACATCCTCTGATGTCGGAGGCATCGGACACAGAAGCGACATTTTCAGATGTGTAGTAGCACCTTTGCAAAACATTGCACATGTAGCTGGTATACGTTGTTAGAAGCGCATTTTCAAGGGCTTTCAAATGCATTATAGAATCGGACGAGGGGTATATATATTATAGCGGCGAGTAACATCACCCGAAGTCGGCAGTATGCTGTTTTCCATGTCCCAACCAGCACCCAGACCAGTATTAGCACACAAGATGTCTTCACGCAGGTGCCTGAGCGAGTGAGTTTAGCTTTTAGCAATATTCCAGCAATATCACAACGGGGCTTCACACATTGTATCCGTGTGGGGTATCGAACCCGGGTCTTCGGCGTGACGAGCGAACGCTTTAACCACAAGGCTACCCCCACCGCCCACCTTCAATCAGGAGTGTGCAACATCCCGAGGTCAGTATGAATGGTAACCTTCTCAGCCCAACTGAAAAGGACATATTTACAGGAACGGTACTGTGAGTGAGTGAGTGAGTGAGTGAGTGAGTGAGCGCATATACTTTTGCCCCGCTTTAAGCAATATTCCAGCAATATCACGACGCGGAGCACCAGAAACGGGCTTCACACATTGTACCCATGTGTCTGACTGACTGAGTTTGGTTTTACGCCGCTTTTAGCAATATTCCAGCAATATCACGGCGGGGACGCCAGAAATGGGCTTCACTCACTGTACCCATGTGTTGAATCGAACCCGGGTCTTCGGCGTGACGAGCCAACGCTTTAACCACAAAGGCTACCCCCACCGCAACCGCTAATGTTAGAGCTTTAATGCTTTTAAAGTGGTTAAATGCAACATAATTACACTTTCCCAGTAAAGTACAGATTCTAGAAATCGTTGGATCGTTGACTCTGTGTGCTGGAGATTAGTTGTCTTATTGTTAACACCATGGCTGTTATAACTTATCATAGATGCCGAGGAATGCTATGACCTAGGATGCTATTAAATCTTCTTAACATTGTAATCTAATTACAATTTACTATTTTATTTAACAGACAGACAGACAGACAAGTTGTTCATTACAGTCTCACCTCAATATTAAATAGAGAAGCAACAAAAGCTGAGCCACACCTATAAGGAGTTATGAGAGACTAAGATCTGTAAAATGTACATAAAGATAAAATATTATTGTATAAAACGATGAATGTTATATAATAAATAAATATAAGCACTTAAAATATAAAACTGAATTAGGTATTATATACATACGCTTATGCATACACATATGACTTAAGCTTAGAAAGAATAAAATGGCAGGTCTTGGCAGCAATAAACAACACATTAGGGCTGGATAAATATAATATTTACTTTTGATTGTCATTTAAACCATTAAAACTATCACATTCATCATTACATTCGTTAATTAAATAGACCTTTCATTCATATACAATGGACATTTAAGTAAAACATGGCACTCATCTTCCATGTTGCTCTCTCAGCAATATGCGAGCGCATGTCAAGGAGGGATGTCTGCTCAGCAGAAATAGGCTTCTTGACTACATTCCAAAAGAGATTTTAATAATACGTTTATTATACTTTTCTTGTTTAAAAGATGCATTTTACCTTACAATAGTTTTCTCATCCAGTTGTAATTAGCTTAGTATATATTAAACATATTATATTTTAAGTGTAACGCTTTGAACACGCCATATGTTAATTCAACAAACCAGTCTAGTTAAAATTCAAATAGGTTCGAATTAATAAATCGATTTATTGGATTTTACAACTGCACATAGCTCCGTTACATGAACTGACATAGATCAATAAATCAGCAAGGAGATTGATATATAATCGATATCACGGGAGGTTTCAAGCCAGCCTACTGCTATAGGTGCACCACGACCTGGTACATGCCTGCGTATTCAAAGCAGTGTCATGGTCGCAACAAAGAAGTAACATAAGGTGTGTGTGTGGCGGGCTGCATGAATGCGTTAGTAGGAAATCGGGGACCTTACCACGAAGAAGCCTGTTTGTCAAACTGGTTTAGGTAAGTACACAACCTGACAGGTATATATTGTTAGCCATTGTAGGTACGTGTTTCATCTTTATTTTTATTAACTTCATTCAATCATTCGACTGAGAACATTTAAATCTGAATCACCTATTAATTAAAGGTAATTCAATTAATTTACCTATTTCTATAGCAGGTGTGCAAAACAAAATGAGGAATGATGAACGTGACCAGAGGTGATGAAGGTTGGTAATGGTTAACATGGTATTTTACAGTTAATGTCCTAAAGGACAATGTGAATTATATTTGTTAGCATATTCTCCATGGTTAATCATGTCTGTTGCCAAGTAAACTGAGTAGACATGAGTGAAAACATGTCGGCACTTCTTGGTTCTTGGTGCTCGTCAAAGTCGGATAAAAAAGGAATGAAAGCAACGTGACTGAACTTACAGTAACCAAGTGGTGGGTTCCCAGATAGCTCACTTTGGGTCAGGGTATCAGGATAAGGATGATCATGGCTAAATAGTTGTAGTCAGTTTCTGAATCATGTTCACCAAGATCCAAGCGGTGAATAAACAAACTTGAGATATGTCATAATACTCAGTAGTATGGTATGTAAAGTACTGTTACATCTGTTCTGTGTGAAAGTTCTCTCGTCACGCCGAAGACCCTGGTTCCATTCCCAACATGGATAAAATGTGTGAAGCCTGGTGTCTTCCTCTGTTGAAATATTGCTAAAGGGGCGTGAGACCACTCCTCTCTTAAATGTGCCTCGTTATCACGAATGAAACCAAGTGACAAAATGTTTAAAAGTTTCCATATAAAGCAAGATATAGAAACTTCTTGCCTTTGAAACCCATTGTCAAGACGACCGGACGTTAAATGAAGGTGTGACTGTTTCAGTTGGATTTGTTTGTATTACAGGTGTGTGTTTCCAGATGTACTCAAGTACGGAAGAGATTCATAGAGAAGGAGAACCGTGAACCAGTCAACAAACTTTTTTACAAGTTCACACCGAATATAAGATTCTAACTCTTGCCTCTCTTACTGTTAGTGCAGGGCATTTTCAGGTTTCTTTGACATGAAAAAAAGTGATACTTATGAAATTCTTTAAAAAGAACTTCAAATGAGGAAGACATTCTAGTTTTGAAATAGTAACTACATAATCAATATCTGAATCAATGGAAGCTGAGAAGAATAACTAGTGTTAATATATATCGCCAATTACCTGCTAGATCTAGATGCTCGGATGGTGAGTGTGTGGATCCAGTGATGTAGCATATCATGTCATCCTCCGACTCATAAGGTGTAGAGCCAGTTGATGTTCCAGCGTCACTGTCGGACATGGTTGGTTATATAACTATACACAAATGTCAAATGTTGTTCTACGTGAGTTATTATATATATGAAGTAATGGCAACTTCTATCACAACTAAGCCAGCATCCTCGGGCTGATGTGACTGGCGAATTGGAAACTGTCATATCCTGACTGTTTAAACATAATACGACATAAAGGGACGTAACTCTAAAATAAACTAGGCTCCGTCTATTGAAGTTTCGTTTGCGTGTGTCCAGTTTAGTAACCCTGCAATACGTCCGATATAGACTTTCGGCCCTAGGGGTGATATGGTTGATATAGATTTTCGGCCCTAGGGCTGATATGACTGATATGCATTTTCGGCCCGGTGGTCAATATGGACATGTGCCGACAGCCAGTATTGTATGTGCAAAATGGTCCATATTATCAGTGACCATATAATAGATTATTTATCGGTATATGAAAATAACTCTTATCGCACACATCACATGGTGTAGTTATCAGCGTGATACACATTATTCACATATATCGTCGTATATCGCCTAGCAGGTCGGATAATAGTTAACGTTATATCGTCACGTTACCATGGTAACACACGTCGTTCACATGCAGGGGCAATAACTCACTGTTGATATGCATACACCCATAGCTCCGTCTGTCTACCGCAAAATTGATATGCATCCGACCATCCGACTAAAACACCCATAGCTCCGTCTGTCTACCTGTAGGAACACAACAAAGAATGACAGGTAGAGAGTGTCGGGGTGACGTCGGTGACCGCTTCCTGGTCCGCCGGCCTTATCTACGTCGGCAGGACAGCTGCTACATGATTACGTCATAAATAAGAGAGTTGTCGACAAAAACTATATAATGTTTAGTATTTGGAAGAAGCTGACGAATAACCTAACTTCTGCTTTAAAGCATACATTAACCACAAAGCGTGGCTATATTCAGGGTTATTCTTCCGAGACCACATTGACACACAGACACAGACACAGACACAGACGCGCGCACACACACACACACACACACACACACACACACACACATATATATATATATATATATATATACACACACACACACACACACTTGTCGAGCGCCTGATCTGAACAGTCAAAATAACAAAGCAGGCTGTCCTTATCTCAGACACTTCATCACGATAACCTCACTAACGAAGACGGAAGGAAAAACAGATAAGAGGATAAACAAGACGGTTGAAATGTCATTGTTATCAGCCAACAGCACTGTGCGTTATGATGTAAATTAGAAACTGATTGAGTATGTTGTCGTCAATGATGTTTAATGTCGAACTGAGATTACATCCCGATTGTCTCCAAGTATCAGTTATCGAACTTTAGCAACAACGGACGAACAATAAACCATGGTGTCGTTGTACAAATGTTTAGCGATCTCAGTACTAAGGCGATCTTCACCCCCACATTTTAACATAGGTGTACGACTGCCGAGGTGCCAAGGCTGCTTGGTGGAAGGGCATTCTGGTCACAGACCCAGTCGACTCGATAATCATTTCGACAAGGCGACACCAACGTCAAGCAGTTGATACTGTGCCCCGGCAAAAAAACAAAACTCTTATTTCTGAGAAATGATATTTTGTTATCTATAAATACATTCTTCAAAAAAAAGAGACGCAAAACCCAAATATCAATGAATATTTGGTGTTATTCAAGGACGTGTAGATCAGCGGAAAACAAAGATACATGAATGAAATTTTGTGGAGCAATGCATTGCTATCTTGTCCATATGTCATGAGAATAACAGTCATCACAGTCATTACTGCTGTCCACCAGGTGGTGTTGAAGTCAGTACCTCGTATGACCACCTCCAGCTGCTACCACTGCCCGACACCTCCTGGGTACAGATCGAATCAGTCGTTGGATGTTTTGTTGTGGAATCCTTCACCATTCCTCCTGCAGCATGTGGAACAACTGTTGAAGATTCTGTGGTGGAATACGACGTCGACGTACCCGTCTATCGATCTGATCCCAAAGGTGTTCGATTGGGTTAGATCCGGGGATCTGGAGGGCCAGGGGAGGGTATTGATGTTGTTATTGGCCAGGTAGTCCACGGTGGCACGTGCTGTGTGGGGCCTGGCGTTGTCCTGTTGGAAGAGCTGCCGTTGACGGTCAACAAAGTGAAGGACGTGCGGACGGAGAATCTGGTCGATGTATCGATAGGCCGTCAGATTGCCTTGGACAAGCACAAGTTCCGATCAGCGGGTGTATGAGATCGCTCCCCACACCATAACACTTTCTTCACCGAATCTGTCCACCTGTCTAATGCAGTTAGGAGCAAAACGTTCATGACGTTGTCTGTAGACACGGTCTCTACCATCACGTCGCCTGAGGAGATAACGGGATTCAACCATATGCGCCTCCAGTTTGCCAGGTTCCATGGCAGCGCCGTGTTACACCATCTCACTCGTCGACGTCGAAGTAGTCGTGTCAGGGGGAGGACGTTTGGCAAGTATCCCTACTTCTCGGAGACGGCTCCTGATTGTCTGATCGGAGACTCTTCGGGCTCCAAACTGTTCTTGTGCTGTGTCCCGGGCGGTACGATGGCGGTCACGTAGGTGGGTTACCCGGATGTACCGATCTTGGGCAGGTGTGGTGACTCTAGGTCTTCCTGATCTTGGACGGTCATTTGTCGAATTTTTTTGCTTGATTCGCCGGCTTGCAATCGTCCAATTGCCCTATTTCGATCGGCAGCGTTGAGACGTCCCATTTTCGTGTACAGTACTTGCAAAGATCGCGGATAAAATTGTGAGATTCATTTGGGTCTTTTATAATCACATGCTTTACTCATGCTTTGCACGTGAGAAACAATCATTGTGCCTGATATTCGTGCTGCATGACATCCACGCACATCATGACAATCCTGATCGATAAAACCGTTCAAAATCATTTTTGGTTGCGTTTGGTCAAGCATGATCTTCTAAAACATTCCAGAAACAATGTACAACCCTAAAATAATGTTTGAGTTTACATATGTGTACACAATTGTAAGTATCATTCTTGAATTTCATTTTGCGTTCCTTTTTTTGAAGAGTGTATATTTTTTTAACCAAACTGGGAATGTTTACCACCGTTCGACTTATCGGGCTCGGAGCTGGTTCAGATAAATCCCTGTGCAAGGACAGTCAGGAATATTTGTGTACCTAACAGTCCAAGATCCAGGAAGTGTAACATGAAGTCCAACATTGTGCAACACGAACAAAGAATGTACCTACACAATACCCCGTCGACAGTGAGGAAAAGACACTACGCTTGTCAGGCTGTGAGCGAGCACGTGAATTACCAGATTGTTTATGCATAACAGTCCCACCCATCTAACTTACCGTTAGCGCCGGCCTCCAATAAGTGCCGGGGGTAAAGCAACTGTTCAAGAAATAAGCGCCGGGTCTCTAATAAGCGCCGGGTCTCCAATAAGAGCCGGGTCTCTAATAAGCGCCGGGTCTCTAATAAGCGCCGGGTCTCTAATAAGCGCCGGGTGTGCCACATGTTTACAAAGGAGTTTCCAAATAGAATACTAATGGTATTTACTACTAATAATAAAATCTATATTTATATCCGTGGAAACTTTAAGCGCCGGGTCTCCGCAGAAAGTTTCATAGAAATAATATCATTTAATAAATTAATTTCATTTTGGGGAAAAGATTCAGTTGTTTGTTTAATTGGCCTCCGTTCTTCTAAAGGTATGTCAGATATTTCATCATAAATAGAATGAAACAAAATATACACAGGGTTTCGGAAAGATCTGCAACTGAGGATTATTATTATTATGAAGAAGGACAAGTCTTGGCTTGGGCGTTTAACAGGTTCAGTGAAGACTACACCTTCGAAGATAACCTGTAACCTGTTATATAGATTCTGTTACCAACTGGTGCAACAACATGAATCAGTTTTC